GAGGCACCCGGAGCCAAACGATCCCTCTAGTTGCCCTGGCCTACCTGCCTTAGTTCACTAGTGCTGTTATAACCCCAAATACTACAAGTGGGTGCCTTTGAAGAACAGATACTTATGTTTTTCACAGATCAGGAGGCATAAAGTCTGAATTCAGGGCAGCAGCTTTAGGAGATGACTCTCCCACCCCCACCCCATGTTGGCCCTGGAATCCTTGTCTCAGCTTCCATAGCCCTGGGGTTCCTCAGGGCTTTGGGTGATGTCCACGTGGCAGCTGCCTTCCAAGCTCCGGGCTCCTGGTCTCTGTGCCTGGGTTACTCCTCACGCCTCACCAGTGATGAGGTCTAGGACCCACCCTCCACTGCTAGGGCCTCCTTCACATGGCAAAGAATCCGTGCTCCCCCCGGGGATGGAACACACGCACACACATAGCGTATATACTCGAGGATAAGCCGACCCAAATATCAGCCAAGGCACCTAATTTTGCTACAAAAACTGCATTCAAAATGTGCTGACAAACTCGGCTTGTACACAAGTATATACGGTATAGACAAAAACATTTCTCTCCAGATTTCTTATTCTTTAAACCTAAATAGCGGTTTTAGTGACTTAAAAAAAAACACAAGAGGAGGAAAAGTAAAATTGAAATGGACTTGGAGTCTTTAGCGACAAACGAGTTCATCGCAAACAGAACATTAAAATCAGCTGTTGTTGGACCGCACATGGGCCAGCTCTCCGAGGAGAGAGGAAGTGACCTGGCAGGCAGTGTTCTGGAAGCAGGGGGGCCGGAAGCGGGTTTGTGCAGCGTGGCCGCCTCTGGGCCGTCCACTGCCGAGACCAGCTCTCAGCCAGCAGGGAAAGATGGCCCTTCCTGGTTTCCTTGGAGTTGAGTGGGGCCATGTGACTCGCTTTGGGGAGTGTGGTGAGGGCTGGTAAGCATACCACTTCAGGCCAGAGCCTTCCACTGCCAGTGCCCAGTTCTGCAGAGCTGCCCTGTCCCTTTGGTGAGGCATCGCCCTTTGACCTCACCCAGATCCCTGAGTGATGATGACAAGGAGGGGGGCACCATCACCGCCTTTAGAAGCACAGGAAGCAACCGCCTTTGGTCATTTCTAGGTGGATACTGCCATTGCTTTGTGTCCTCCAGCCAGTTTCCGACTCACAGTGATCTCGTGGGACAGAGTTGAACGGCCCCAGAGGGTCTCCTTTAGGGGACCCGATGACCGATTGGTTTCAAACCACCAACTTTGGGGTTTGCAGCTGAGAGCCTGAGTTTGGGCCACCACGGCTCTTTTCATGACGATTACCATAGCAGAACCCAACCCGTGGTTCTCTGAGGGTAGACCCTGGGAAGTGTTAGGAATGCAAGTTCTCAGGCCTTACTCTGGAGCTCCAGGGTCCAAACCTGGGGCTGGAGCCCCACAGGCTGAGTATTGACCAACCCTTCAGGGGTTTCTGGTCATCCTTAATCTGGACAACCACTGCTGATCGGACGATCCCATACGTAGCTGGCAGACGGCCCCCTTTGCAGAGAAACAAAGCATTCAGGCCCCCCCCTCCAGCAATGAAAACCTTCCGTACTCTAGGCCAAAGTCCAGGATGAGCTGTAGGTAGGTCTCTGCTTTTGCAGCCCCGCCTCAGATGGTTTCAGCCCCCCCCCCACCCAGGGAGCAGTATCACCTGCTTTGGGAAGCACTGGCCTAGATACTGGTCATGTTCTCAGCTGCCAACTGGAAGGTCGGTTGTTCAAACCCACCGGTTGCTCCAAGAGAGAAAGATGTAATAGTCTGCTTCCATCAAACCTACCAAATTAGAACCCTTCTGGGGCAGCGCTAAGGAGCTCTGAGGGCAGAATGGTTACTTGTTGGACTGTGTTCACCAACCATAGGTCTGTGGTTTGAAACCACCAGCTGCTCCTCAGTAGAAAGACAATGCTTTCGACTCCCATAAAGTCTTCCAGCCTCGGAAATTCACAAGGGCAGTGCTACCATGTCCTATAGGGTGGCAGGGAGTTGCTGGGCTTTTTTGGTTTGGGGAAACGCTGCTCTGTCCGGTAGGGTCATTATGAATCAGAATGGACTTGGTGGCCCTGGGCTTGTTTTTGTTTGGTCTTGGGGAGATTAGATGTCATGGAGATCAATCACCCTAGTCAACTTTTAAAAGCCCGAGTAAGAACAATAATGAGATGGTGAGGTTCTGCAGTTCATAGAATTTTTAGGAGAAAAAAAAAATCATTAGATCCACCTCCCACAGGCTAAGTTTTCCTTTGGAAATGGCTGCAACTGGGTGAGTGGGGAGCCCATCTCCCACTGTGTCCAATCAGGAGATTGTGGAGGAGCCCCCACCCCCTCGCCAGCCCCCCTGCCAATTCCTTCCATTGAAGCGAGACCCAGGGCCTATGATAAACCCAGGGACCTGCTTTCCCCTTGTCCCTAAGGCAGTCTCTAGGATTTGGCTAATGCTTTCCCACTAAAGGGACACAACACCCCTCTTGCGTCTCTGTTTCTGAGCCATTAGCACTGCAGACCAGGCTGGTAATAGGCATGAAGCAAAAAACTACAATTCCAAGCAGATTGCTTTACACTGTCCAATCAAACGTATCCGTGTGTGCATGTACAATTACTCCAAGGGCTCTAACTATTAGCTGAAAGCAGGTTGGGGCGGCGGGCAGATAAAAGGTGCCAGGAGAAAGGTGCACCCTGCGAAAGAGCTGGCTACATCCTTAAGAAGAGAGTTCATGGACCGTTTGGGACGTAACCATTTCCGTTTTCACCAGCAGTAGGCCAGCACCACAGATAAAGGTTTTAAGAAAATACTTAAATCGGAGTAACAGAATACCTTTTTTTGTGTGTCCTTTGGTGGTGTCACTAGTGGGACCCTTCAGGCGGAGCCGGGAACAGTCTCCTCTCCTTTTACCATATGCCCCTGGCTCAGACTTAATGCTAGTGGTCCTTGGCTAGTGTGTCAAGGGGCAGGTTTTAGGTTGGTTTTTCTGCTTGCTACTGAGGAACCCAACCTTGGATAGCACAGCCAATGAGAAGAGAATTCTGCCAAAGTCAGCCAAAGGCTTTGTTGTCACTGGAGGGCGTGTTTCAGGAACTCACTGGGCTGCAAACTGAAAACTTCAAGACCCCAGGGCCCCTGGGCTAGGCTGTACCACACCATGCAGGTTCCTGGTCTTTTCCATTTATTCCCCCTGGGGGTTTCCAGTGCAATTAATCTTGTATTCATGCCTTCAGTGGTGCTTGCGGGGCTGCGGAAAATAATTAGGGAAGCGGCTCTCTCCTCGGGCCCTCCGGGCGTCTCTTAGCTGTGCCACCACGGTGCCAGCCTAACAAGACACAGGGCTCCCGCCTCCTCAAGTCCCAAGGGAACCTCGAAGGTAGTGACCAGCTAGACACAACAGGCCCGCCTCTGAGGGGCGGGGCTTCACACATTTGATGGACACAAGACTGTTGGGGGTGGGGGCGAGGTCAGATCTGGTTCTAACATGCAGATTCTGACTCTGCCGGGCTGGGCCGAGCCTGAGAACCTGCATTTCCTACAAGCGCCCAGGAGTGGCAGGACACCGGCTAAGCACCTCCTGAGTCCCCAAAATAATAACGCACAGCTTGCATAACTGCCTTTGCCAACCCACTCTGCGGACAGGCAGTCCGCTAAGGGTCGGGCTCTGGAACGCTTTAGGTTCCTTGAAAGCAGGGGCGGGGTCTCCCCATTCGGTTTGTTTTGCTTTGTTCCCGGGCTGGCTGCTTGGCACAGAGTCCACACACAGTAGGTATATGCTTATTTCACTCGTCAGACTTGGCCTTCTTCCCAAAAGGCTCTTCTGGGGCCGTAACCCATCAATAGGCTCGAAATGGAGGCGCGAAGTACATCCCTGGGCTCATCACCACGCCTGGAGGGCTCTGGCCCTCTGGCTCAAGTTCCCTCCACCTGCCTGCACCCGGACTGCGCTCCTCTGCTGGCAGCTCTCCTGCCCCATTTTCAAAGCATTTACACCAGACCGGGGGAGGAGGGAAAGAAAGATTCCGCAAAACCAGAAAGCCCTACCAAGCAGTAAGGGAAAGCTCCGGGGTCACAGAATTCTAGGGTCTCTCTCCGCCTGCCGCCGGGTCGCTAGCATTCTTCGCGCCCTCTGGGGTCCCGCCCCCGCCCGCCCCGGGAGCCCCGCGGGGACCAGGCTGAGCGCGCGCGCGCGGCGCCCGTGGGCTTGGCGCGAGCCTGAGCGCTAGCACCGCTCCGCCAGGTCACCACGAGCCTCTCCCGCCCCGGGAGATGATGTAGGGGTGGGGGATCGGATCGCCGGGGTGGGGGGCGGGAGTCGCGGAGAGCTCAGACAACAGCGACAGCAGGTGGAAACCCCTGTTCTGAGGGTCCCTGGCTGTACCTGCAGCAGCCTGGGAGGGGACAGGAAAGGCTGCTCCCGTTGCG